AAAGCCAAAAATAACCACACACACGAGAGTTCAAGACATAAACATCAAAAAACAAACAAACAAACAAACAAACATTTTCACGCCCCATAGGGGTAGCACACGAAACCTACATCATACCATCACCATCATCATTAATACCGCCACCTCCACGCACATCAACATCTTCTACATCCTTAGCGTTCTCAATAACGTCATCAATACGACCTGGCTCAGGAACAACATCATTCTTATTACACTCATCACCCAGACAAACCTTGGCATCCAAACAATTGCCACAACCACCACCTTCATTAACAACACCCTCACCACCAGAAACAATGCTCTCACCATGATAATTTCCATCGTTGCCATCCACTACATCTTGAGGAGTACTATCAGAACTAGAGAAAGCACAAAGATCACGAACCCCCTGCATGTCCAATTCGCCTAACCCCAACAATGAAGCATGATACATACTAGCAAATGCTAAGAGAGCCTCGTTGACATTAGTAACGGGGCCAACAGCAGGGGTATCCACAAGACCTGGGTGACCAGCAGTGACCAGAGTAGCGCACACAGATTTCACTCCGGAAAAAAAGGCGGCGTGATGGATGAGACTCACCGCCCCCGTAAACTCCGGATGCTCGATTAACTTATCCACAAATTGCACAATCCCCGCCTGCAATAACTAATTGATCATGCTGTGTCACGTTCACATTTGATTGCAAGTCAGCAACTACCCTACCACGATCGGTTGCGTCATGTTCAAGGCTTTCGACCTGAATCATTAAACCCTCGTTAACCTGAGAAAGAAAATCGACTTTAGCTTCCAAACCGGACCTAATTTCCTCCATCGCAGCTTTTTCAAAAGCCAGAAGTTGATACTTTTGCTCTGAACGCTGCAGATAACCAGTAAGTTTTGAAATACGTTGCTCTAACTCAGTTATACATACCCCACAACCGGCATGCACATCTTCCATCTCTTTTACCGTCTGAATATGTCGAGCTCTGGAAACAAGATAAAACATGGCTTGCGCAGCGATGCAGGTCATGTTATGAGACAGGACAGGACTACCCATAGACTCCATATCAGTAGTAGTGGCAGGAGTAAAGGAATGACAGGCAAACTTTAAAGCATTAGCACGAACGGAGAGACGAGACTCATTGTGAGATTCCAAGTGGGGACAAAGAGGGTCCTTAAGAACCCCCACCTAAGTTCTTGGTAGGAGAAACAGGGATGGGATTCGGGTTACGAAGATCCTTTAAGGGAGAAGAACTGACAACTGAAGCGGGAACTACGGGCTATTTATGTTCCCCTTCAATCCCTTCAGACTGTTGAACGTCATCATCAGGGACAACAACAATGGGAGCCGGTGACGAAGAGAGCGAGCTTAGAAGGCGCTAGAAGCTACGCCTGGTTTGAACTCGTTTGGAAACATTAGGTGCACTACTCATAGTCTCGCCCATGGCTAGAACGGCCTTCCGCTTGGCTTGCAATTGCCGAACATTAACAATGACATCATCTTTTTTGTCTTCATCACACTTGGTGGAAGAAGTATGAACGCCACCTAGGCATGATAGAAGAAAGCGGGCGAACTACAAGGGGATCCATCCCGACAGATGGCGGATCCTCGCTTGTCGACGGAGGAGTATGCATAGCAGCAGTAAGAGTAACCTGATCCAAACGGCGAGGGGGAGGAAGATGATTGACCAAATCCACTTCCTGATACTCCTATTTACCCCTATAGCGTTTTTCGAAGCACCTCATCCATAGAAAAAGGAGACTCGTTACCTGGGGAGTTTAAGGCATTGAGGAAAATCAAAAAGGGAAAACCTTCAGATAATAAAACCCTAACATTGATAAACAAAGCAAGAATGCAGACACTTACCATCCGCGACGACGAAGAAAATCACCATTTTACTGCGACGTCTCCAAGACGGGCTCATTCCTACACCGGAGAGAAGGATCTCAGAATAGTCCTCGGGGGAAACTTGGATGTTCTTGAGAAAATCAGCCACGTCTTGGTTCTCGGGAAAAGAGTTTGGGGGTAGTATCAACAAAAGTGTTGGCACGATAGCATCTGCTATCCACTAAGCCCTGATTAACCCAAAATCACCTATCTTGCCAGTTTTTAGGCGTTCGGCCGTCAGGTACTAGGGTGTGTCCCCCCTCGACGAATGGAAAACATGAACTTATCACCGGTGTAACAAAAGTGGAAAAAGTATTTAAACTCAAAATAATCAGGAAGATAACCATTAGCCCGATAGAGCATCTCAAAAGCAACAACCTTGTTTACAGCATTGGGTGTCAACATTTGAACGTTGCAACCGTCTTTTTGGAGCACCTTCTCTTGGAAATCAGTCAAAGGGAGACAAAGGGCGCCATCTAGGGTTTTCTGGTAGATACCGACCTTTCCAGGAGGAGGGGAAAGGATAGAAGAACCTAATGAAGGAACTCCACACCATTAAGAGAAGTAAGGCCATAAGTGGTTTCGAGATATGAGTACTCAGAAGCAGAAGGTACAACGCCTGGGGGGACTCGTCATGAAAAGAAAGGAAAGAAAATGGAGTTGAGAGAGAAGTAGGAAAACGTAGATAAGAAGACATGATAAGTACTCTTATAAGAAAACGGAAAGGGCGGGATGTTCAAAATGTCTGACACGCTGACGTAACTGCTAGCCATCATGAGCGGCCACATCGCCATTGAAACTGGAACGACAAACGAACAGGGAAGCAACACGTATAAAATAATCAAGTCCAGAGCGTCGTATCTAGCAGAACAACACTACGGCTAATGGACTGGGGGACTTGATGATGTGTCTAAGTCGGCACGGAAGAATCATGCCTGCGGCTGAGCCAAGAGGAGCAGGCTCAACGCCCGCCAACGCCCCTAAGAGCAGGGCACCTCGGCGAAACGCTCAGCCCGCCACAGACGCTCCCAGTGTCAAGACAGGATACGGTCAAGTGATAAGGCAGAGGGTCAGAGCATTACCGCCGAAACCAATGGCAGTACTCTGACATAAAAAGGTGCACAACCCTCCAATCAGCGCCTCTGACCTTGTCCCCTAAAAGCAATCCTGTCCCGAACGGACAAGCAGGATCACTAGGTATAAAAGGGCGCACTTAGGAGCCCTACAGGTAATCCATCTTCTCTGAGAGCTATTTCCTTGAGGGACACCTAAAAACCCATCTGACTTGACCGTCAGAGCGTTCTTCCGGGAGCCTCCTCTCGGGAAACAGCTGACGGCTGTTCTTTTGTGTTGCCTTGCAGATACCTCTTAACACCATACCGGAGAGCAAGTAGGAGGTCCAGGTAAAGGTCGCATCAATACCTATTGCAAGAACCGAAGGTGATGGTGGGGAAATCTATAAGCTTCTTGTTGGATGTGAATAACGCTATAACTCTGGATCTAAAGGTTCAAAAAGGACGATATATGCTTTCCCGGTTTTCTTCTCCAGCCGCATCGACCTCATCTGTTTTTTCCTAGATGAAAATTCGAGTAGATAGAAAGAAAAAAGGGTGGTGATCAATCAACACACAAACACAACAGATGGAGGAGATAGGAGGGTAACAACATATATGGAGTAGTGGAAAAGACTAAAATACCTTCATTGGCAACACAAATTATCGTAAAAAGATGTCGAAAGATGAGACGACAAAAGCTTTTTGGGAGAATTTCATCTATATCATTGTAAACTTTCATAATTACATGTATATCCAATTAAAATTTTAAATTACATATATATCCTTATAAAACCTATGAAATTACATATATATCAAATACTTAAGTAATCATATTTGATATATTAAAAAAATAAAAACACAATCTTTAAATTAATTTTTTATTATTAAAATATAACTGATTTGTAATTTTATAATATTATCCTTGTCCCACATTGCTATTCTCGACCTATTACTTTATGAAGTCTTACAAAAATATTAAAACCGACAATGAAATATTTTTTTGTTCTGTCATTACATGTGTAATTATAACTAAAAATAGAAGGAGAACAAAATGGTTTAAAAAAAGAATAACCGTAGGCCTCGTAAATCGATTGTATGAGATGAATTATATTGTTTAACAGTTCTACTATGCAATCCGTGAGTTTTTTTAATCGATTATGTATGGACAACCGTGTTGTGAATAAGAAGATCGATTATGAAAAAGATTACACCTATATATTTTAGTAATTTAGTTATAATTTAATTTATTTTTAAAATATATAAATATGATTAAATTAAGTATTTAAATATATTTATAATTTTATAGGTTTTATAAGAATATATATATATATATATATATATATATATATATATATATATATATATATATATATATATATATATATATATATATTTAATAGAGAACCATAATTAATCAATGAACCAATGAACCAATCTTTTTTTTCAAAATTTTAAAACTTATTTTTTTATCAAAAAAACAAAACTAAAAATACAGAAATTCATAACTTTTTATCCTTTTTCCAATGATATCAAATTCGAATTTTTATACGTCAAATTCACAATGTGAATTTTTGAAAATTCACAACGTGAATCCGGATTCACACGGTGAATTCGAAAAATATTTTTCACATTCACAATATTAATATATAAATTTAGATATTTTTAGATTTTTTTTTCGATAAAAAATAAGTTGTAAAAATTAAAAAAAAAAAAATTGATTCACTGAATAACCTATAATTATGGTTCTCTATTGAACTTTTTCATAATATATATATATATATATATATATATATATATATATATATATATATATATATATATATATATATATATATATATATATGATTTAAAATTTTACAAAGGATATATGAATTATGAAATTCACCCATAAGTTTTTAAATGTTAAAAGCAAAAAATAAAACCGACTTATAGCCACAGGGCGAAAAGTGTAATTTACCATTTTCTAAAAGTGGCATGATCATCAAAACATGGTAAATATGGAGTAAATATCGAATATAATACAAGGTAAACACATAAAATTACAAGCTTTAAAAAATCAATATGTAAGATACACAGCGACTTGAAGTAGAGTCTCTACACCATCATTGTTCTGCTGGTTCGTGCCTTCAAATGTCTTCACCACAGCATGCCCCTTGGCATTCAAATACTTCCCGGTTCCACCCATGACAGCAAGCTGAGACTCCGCCACAGCACTCCGGTGAACCCCCATGAAGCTAAGACTGTCAATATAACTTCCATGCATAAACATCACAGTAAACGCCATTGTCTGGCTGTTGCCATCAATGGAGCTCGAGACATAGAAACCTTGTGCCTTTCCAATTAATCCAGACCCCAGCTCATGTCCCTCAGTTAGCTCATCATCTATCACCATCAAAGTCCCAAACATAAGCTGTCGTAGGGCGTTGCCTTGAGGTAACTGGCCACCATTGATGGAGGGGAACGCGTTGTTGAAGTTGTTATTGTTATTATTTCCGTTGTTGCGGAAAACATTAGAAGTGGTTCCTCCTAGGCCAGTGAGGAAAGGGATGTTATTGTTGTTGATGATTCCACTGTTGCCATTGTCTTGAGGAACCCCATTGTTGACAGGAAGGTTAGCTCCATTGGGTTTTGCGAAGGGAACTTGACCATTAACAGTAGGGTTAGTTACGATACCAGTGACAGCTTTAGCTGAGGGGTTAGATCCTCCGAGAATGTCGTGCATGAAGAACATGAGAGTATGATCACCACCTTCTACACCTCCAGCTGCACCAGTAGAAGCCACAGTACTAGGTGGGATGGCTCCTAAAGGTGTTGCATTAGGGTTAGGGTTTTGAACAGAATCAGGTGCCTCCGGTGAGTTAGCAGAGAAGACTGGAGCTACTTCCTCAACTAGAATTCGAGAGGAGGTGATGGAAGAGAAGGTGATTGCTAGAAGAAGAAAAAGTGTCGGAAAATAAATGGAGTTTGATTTTGTCATAACGATTTTTCTTGGTGAATAAGGAAGCTTTACAAGAATGGTGATGCCTCAGAAAGTGTTTTGAGAACTAACCATGGAAGAAAGATATATACAACATATAGAAAACTAAAGGATTCACAAGAGAAGTAGATCAATGCTCTTGTTGCTAAATGGAGTAGGTGCTCCTTTTCAATATCTGTTTTTGTTATGACTTATGAGAGTCGGTATACTTAGACTACAAAATATTAACAATTTTTCATTTGACCTAATATATATATATATATATATATATATATATATATATATATATATATATATATATATATATATATATATATATATATATATATATATATATATTCAGGTTCATTTGAGACCATTCTAATTTTGTGAGACTATGAGATTAAATCTAAAAATAATTTTAAAATACAAAATAAATGGAAAAATCCAAAAATTCTGTTTTTAAATATTATTTTCGAAACTTGAATTAACTAAAAAAAATAAAGAAATATATAAAAAAAAAAAAAATTATGTTTTTTTTTTTTGAAAAATACGTGAAATATTCTAAATAGAATATTACACTGACATATTCTAAAAAATTATTTTAAAATGCAAAATAAATGGAAAAAATCTAAAAATTCTTTTTTTAAATATTATTTTCGGAACTTGAATTAACTAAAAAAAATAAAAATAAAATAAAAAAATTCTATTTTTTTTGAAAAATACATGAAATATTCTAAATAGAATATTACACTGTACATATTTTAAAAATAATTTTAAAATGCAAAATAAATGGAAAAATTAAAAAAAATTCTTTTTTTAAATATTATTTTTGGAACATGAATTAACTAAAAAAAAAAAGAAAAATTAAAAAAAAATTAAAAAAATGCGTCTCACGGTCTCACAAAATATAGTTGGTCTCAAATGAACCTAACCCTATATATATATATATATATATATATATATATATATATATATATATATATATATATATATATATATATATATAACAAAGACTCAAAAATATTAATTAATTTTTTTAAATAAGTTATTAAGCCATATTTTTTTTAGTTATATAAAATTAAAATCGTTGATTAAATAAATATGTTAAACTATATCACTTTATAATTTGTATTTTTATTTTAATGTTATTAATTAATGTAATTAGAGTGGGAAAGTTAAGATTTCAAATTTAAAATGGATAATCAATAGATTGACAAGTGATATGATATTAATTAAGGGACTTAATATGATTATATATTTCAAAAGAAGAATAAAATTATTTTTTTTATTAATATATATATATATATATATATATATATATATATATATATATATATATATATATATATATATATATATATATATAGCCTAATCTAATAAATACGGTCATTAATGGGAGCTCAACGATAAAAAATACAATCGAAAACAGAGTCCGTATGTAGAAGTTATGAATTTTACACAGTCGCTAATAGTGTAATATTCTCATACTGTTAAATTTCAAAGCGGTCGAGAATTAGGCGATAGATTCTAAACGAAAGTTGTAGATTATGTCTCCACCTACACACAAGGTTATAAAACTCGTTACTCGGTACCTGTTCGGCCGACTACCAAGTAGTGAGTATTTGGGCGGTAATTCATGTAGAAATATTTTTAGGGAAACTATATATGTCAAAATCATATGTCAAAACCATAAGTTGATTGAAATATATAACAAAATTAGATACATGTGAATACATAAAAACAAAAAAACGCATAATGGTATCACTTCGTTAATAATTTCTGAAAATTTAAGATATATATGTAGTAATAATCACATGCGTGTGTTAAATAATAAATCATTATGTATATTATACATATTAATCACTAAGTTGATCAGGTTTTACAACGTTATTCAGTTCAGTAAGGGGCCGATCGAGGAGTACTCAGGATTCTGCAACTCACCTCGGTAAGGGGTCGAGTAACGAGTACTTGGAGGAGTAATCGGATAACTCGGTGAGTTTTACAACATTGCCTACACGTGGATATAAAGGACGTCGAAAACAGAGTTTGTATGCGAAAGTTACGGGGTTTATAAGTTGGCAGCGTGCTGCTTCGAAGGGGGTGACGTGGTTGAATCTGAGCTATTGCTTTCTCCCCAAGTCTTACCAACAGATGGCGACATGTAGCACCAAGTTGAACCATATTTCAGTCTATAAATAAAACCCCTTCCACCCTCATTTCTTCACATATCCACCTTTCTCTTTCTCTCTCTAACTTCTCTCTAAAATTCCCAAAACCCCTAAGAAACTCCCCTAGCGCTAGAAGAAAGCTCCAGAGCGCCCGACGGCTCCAAGAAAAAAAGAGCTTTTTGATTCAGAAGCTCTGCTCTAGCGGAGCCCAATTTTTAGCAAAACCCGCTGTAAATGAGATACACCCACACTACTTTAAATATAGATAATATTCAAATATAATATCGTTATTATAAACCTATAATCAAGATTTATCAGTGATTCCAAGTTGTTATACTGATTGATCTACTTAAGGGGATGATATCTAGGCTGTGATTTAGTGAGGTGCTTAAAGTGGGATTTCCAAACAATATACATCGTATACCAAATGGACGCTACCTTCGATATTATGCTACATGGTTGTTCCTTACTTGATAGATCATGAGAATAGACTTTGAGTTAACGACGAATCTAGACTAATAATTAGTCGCAATAAAGATTATGCTAAAACTTAGCGATAATAATGATAGGTTTCATCAAAGGAAAATAGAATTGTTAGAAGCGAAGCGTTGCCCACTGTTTGGAATAATCTTTTAACATGTGAGTGCATAGTCCCTTTCATGAACATGATTTTAATAAAAGTATTGATTAAAGTATTAAATATATGTTTATGTGCGAATTATTTGATGTTGTCTGAAATACGTGTTAAAGAACATACCGGATAATATATGATGATTTAGGATAAAGAGTAAACCTAAATTAATTATGAGGCATATTGGGTAGCTTCTTCTTATGAGTACGAGAAAGATATACACGGAGAATAGAACTTTAAAATATGTCATTGATCTGGGAGCATGGATTAGACATGGTCATTTGTCTTTAGTCCGAGAGTATGGATAAAACATAGTTATTTTCGGAAATATGGATTTAGACATAGACAATTGTCTAGAGTCCGAGAGTATGAATAAGACATAGTTATTTGTCATTAATCCGGGAGTATGGATTGACGCATAATCAATTGTCCTTAGTCCGAGAGTATAGAACGGACACAATCATTGATCTGAGAGCATGGATTAGACATACTTGATCCGGGAGTATGGAATAAGTAAAAAGGTAAATTTTAGATCCAAGAGTATGGACAGTGTCGTTGAGAGGATTGACAGGGTTGGATAAGAGTTTTTTATACATGGTGAAATTGTATACTTGTGAGTTCTAATATATATATATATATATATATATATATATATATATATATATAACATTGTGGGATTGAAATCCCTATGTACTCACCAGATTTCCCAACCTAACCCACTCAGTTTATTTGTATCACAGGTGTCGATATGAAGCTATATTACACTGAGAGATTAAGGAGACGTAGACCACTAGTATAAATGAATGTAAGGTCTATTTATGCTTATGTTTCTGTATTGACGAGGACATCCCAACGTTTTAGAATGAATAAAATACATTTCTTTGGAAATGCATTGATAGCTTATTTATCATGTTTTTCTGGAAACAAATTTTGCAACATATTTCTTTAAAAGATACTCTAATTTTCAAAATAAAGCATAAACAAATCGGTTTTTAGCCGTAAAAATAGGGATGTTACATGGTTTTACACATAAAGCTGGAAACAGATCAAAGTTTCCAACTTCAATCTAAGAAATTCGCTCCTCAATCACCGAGATTTTCGTGCTGATTAATAATATTCGGATAAATCCACGAAATCATGTAGGTAATCATTTCCTATTTTATTCTTCATTCATTCTCTCTTTTTTCTACAGAAAATCCCATCCAAATCAACAATCTCCTTCCTGATTGAATACACACCCTTTTTCTCCATAAACCCTAATTATGCCCAAAGTATCTCTTTTGGCACAACCACCGCCACTACTATGCACCAAGGAGATATGAGAAGTAGAATCGATTGGGATATTGTACCAGGTCCAAGGTTGATTTCGTATATTGGGTATTTAGAGGTCTATTCTTATGGTTAGTGGAATCATGGTTTTAATTGCATGCTTTGTTCAACAACTTGGTTTTTTTATCCTTTGAGGCATATATGGTAGTCTTTCCCCAAGAAAATCTTATTGAGTTACATTTATATTCAAAAAAATTTTTGATTTTGATTGTTATTTTCCATAAGAGAGGAGGAACTTTGAAGGATAAGAATGTATGAGTTTTATGAGTAAGGGTTTGCATATGATAGTTTTATCTATTATGGTATTGAAGATTTTTTTAAAGAAAGAAACACTAAGGGGTTGTTTCTTCTAGGATTTAGTGTTTCTTCTTGGTTTATTCTAATTGTAGTAATATTTTTTTCCATGATTTTTTTAATAAATATGAATTAAAATTTATTTTTATTGTTATGGTATGCAATCAATAGATTCTTGGGATCCATGTAAGAGACTAAGAGGCCAACAACCATGGAAGCTCTCCAACATCGTTTCTTTTAGGTAAAAACCTCGAAATTCCTTTTTTTTAATTTATCGAGAACAATTATTGATGATTATAGGCTAAAATGTAATTTATTAAAATCTGCAGAGTTGTTACTATGCTCCACCTTCTTTCCTCCCTAAATCTGTTCTATGGGTTAACATCGGATATATAAGGCCCACTACCTTACTGCTACGTACAGCTGCCCACAGCAGGAGTCTCCAGGGATGATTTTTTAAGCTTTGTAACATGTACTTTCTTTGTTCTTTATTGTTCATGCCACATTGATTTCAATAATAAAATTGATATGACGGTAACTAAATTTCAGCCACAAATCAAAATTAATAATCAAAAGAAATAAAGTACCATACATGC